TAATATTCATTAAATAGGTATAGCAAACTATACATTTAAAAGTAAATTTTAAGTTTTAAAGGAAAATTAAGTAACTTTTAAACTTATTCGCTCTTATTAATATCTTCATCAATATACTATGAACTAGTATTATCCACAAATTTGTTAAGTAATAAAGTAGATAAATTTGATTCTTTTTTGGTTATGGTTTAAAAAAAATATGTTATTAAATGAAAGTTTTTTTGGAAAATGTCCACTGTATAAACTATTAAAACTATTAAAACTTACCAAATATTCTACTAGCCTATTTCTTTGTTGTTCTTGCTTAGATTTCCAATTGGTTTCATAATCATTGAGTTGAAATGTTGATAAAACACTCATTAAAGCAAATGCCCCTTCATCCTTAATCAAATTTTTTGCCAATGAAAGTGATTTTAATGTTCTATTGGTTCTTAAAACCTGGGGGATAATTTGTAAAAATATTAAAGTATGTTAATAATTTAAATCTATTGAATATCTATGTCCTAAATATTATAATATAATAAGAATACGGGTAGTATATCGTATATGTATAGGTAAAACCTAACTAAAATAATAATAAAATATGTGATTGCGATTTACCTGTGCTATTTCTAATGCTCCTTTGCATGTTATACTATTGCAATCTAAGTACAATGTATTCAATTTTGTATTTCTACTTGTCTCATTCAAAATATCCATAAGAYAGTTAACTCCTTTATCTTTAAGTTGACAAAATCTCAGCCATACTTTGTTCACTCTTAAATTTAATTAATGATATTTCATTATGTTAATAACATATTAATGTATACTCAAAATAAAAATAAAAATTAATTTGAAAAAATAAATGCACAGTGCACATATTTAGTATAAGTAAAGGTAGGTACTTGGTATCTGGTGTTAAACAACATAAATAATTTAAATTTGACAGATTAATTCTGTCAAGTACTAGTTCTTTAACAAGGCATTCTTCCATTTTTAGATACTTGCTTAAATTGTCCAATACTTCTTGGTTAACATTGGAGTTAGTTAAACTATTTAAAAAATGTATGATACATTCATAATTAATTCGAATTTCATATTTTTTTTATTTAAACTTGATTGTAATGTCACATTTATTCATACGAGCATGTTAATTACAACAAAAAAGTAAAATAGTATAGGTAATTTATGTATTATTTTAAACAGTGGTACACTCAGTGCCGGATTCCCCCTCCTCCCAAAATTAAARGCATACTAGGTTCTTTAGAGAGGACGCAATACCCGCATGCGTTTGCTCTCTTTTATAAACATAAGAATAGGAAATTTTTACTATCTGAATGATTAATTTAAGAGGATGTCAGCGCAGTATTTGTTTTCTCTTAGAGCAACACATAACACGGATAAAACGCTTTCACCTAATGATTAATATCATTGCTTAGGATCACCTATTACAAAAATTTTACAAATATTTTTGATGATAATATTTTTAAGGGTATGACATATCGCTTTTATTTTTTCCTATTATTTGACTATGTATTCGAATTTCATGGTAAAATCTTTTTTTGTAAATTTAAATGGTATTATTGTTTTGAGACAATAACTAAATAAATCGATATGTCTTATCCTCAAAAATATTATTATGTATCGTTTTTCCTATGGTTGATTTTACTCTAAGATAACTCAAAAACAAAAAAAATAATATGATTCTGTATTTCTGTGTAAATGTGTATTGTTTAGGTTGCGCGTGAGCCAGAAAGAGAAAACAAACAGTGCGTTGACATCCATTTAAAAAAATTGTTGATTTTTAAATTAATGTAAGTCATAAACGAGTTCTATTTAACTCTGTTATGTTTAATTTTAAAGTGAAATGTGAATCAACATATTGCCTAGTTTAAAAGTAATAATATTATTATATAGCCTATGACATCAACCTTTACTATATATTAATTGTAAACCAAGTTTTGAGCTTTTTATAATTGTTAATTGTTTGTACATTTTAAAATGCTCATAACTCGTTTTTAAATTGAAATGAAAAAAATAAAAACCATGTCATTGACCAGAATCTAGTAAAAAGAAAAGTAGAAGCTGAAAATAGACAGTTTCTCCCAGAATGGATAGAATGTAATTTTAGAAATTTTTCTTATTAAATCAATTATGAATTAATATAAATTTAAAAATAAAAAATCTAAATTTTTGCATGAATTATACTTAATGTTTTCTTGTTTCAACCATTTTTTTTTTTTTTGGCATTTGAATTTGGTAAATACATAAAAATATCAATAAATAAGAATACTAATTTAAAAAAAAAAAATTAGGAGTGTAAAAGTCAATAAAACTCTTAGAGACCCTGGCCAAGTTTGGTAAGTTTCAAAACGGATCTCCATAGAAATTAACTGGCGACCCCAGGACTAGTTTATAATATTTCTTGTAAATTTAGACATTTAGTAATATGAAAATTCGCTCTAAAGACTAAAATAAAACATAACACAGATAATTGTTTTATTTAGAACGTAGCTCGTAGGTACAATTTGTTACCTATAGGCTATAAGCTATAACTTAAAAGTTATGTGTTTGTAAGACGAAGACACCGCATATGGGTATAGCATCCTCTTGCTATAAAAATAATTGTAATATGGGTCTCGTTCTATATTTAAGAAAAAAATAGTTTTTAAAAATAAAAAAATAAAATAAATTCAAATAGTATAAACTATAATTACTCTATTAATCATTAAGCCGGGTTTACACGGCGCGAGTCAAGATTCGACATGATTCGACCTGTCTGAACTKGCCTCGGGTAGTCGGGTGATAGGCGAGTCAAGCGAAGACGCCTCGTGGCGAGCGGTAGCTCAGTCGGTATTTGCCATTTGGGCGCGCGTCAAAGAAGATTCACCAATTTGTTTCGAGTCGTGTGAACTACTTCTTTGAGCGTCTTGCCTCGCACGTAGCGTCATCATTGCTTCACATAAACTGTGGCTCGCCCTGAATCACATTGCTTTGCGCATAGATACGTATCGTGTAAACATTTAGGTGAATCAGATGTCTCGCGAATCTTGCCTCGCGCATCAGATTCGCGCCGTGTAAACCCGGCTTTACATTTAATACAGCGAACACACATTTTCAAGATTCTTAATTATAAGCAAAATAGAACGAGAATTACAATGCAGAAGATCGCTTAAGTTTTTTATCAGTTAAAAGGWTTAAAAGTGATGTATTGCTGAACAGTTTGTCATATTCTTATGTTGCTAATATACTATATTATATAGACACCTTTAAAAAGAATAAACCAAGGAAAGTACCCAATTTGTAAATRTCGTTACAATTTATTTGACGAATAACACGATTGTGAAACTAAATATTAAATAGGTATTAATTTATAATTTAAACTAAAAATATATTTTACCCGGGGTAGTCGGTAAGTATGAAATTGTGAGTATGGACCACCCAGGGGCGTGAAAATTTTGTTTACCCTCGACCTTTTAAGTTTAAATATGRTTAAATMTAGCCCTAAGTGGGCGGTTCACTACTAGTTATAACATTTGTATTTATACACGTATATACATAACACAGTACACTTCAGAAAACGCTTGGTTCTAACCTTACCAAAAATTAAAAATTAATAAAAGTATTTTACATCACTTGAGCTTTAGCCAAAAAACTTTGTTGTATCGTGAGTTGACTATATATTATTACTGTGGTGATGATTATCATTATACACTTTATTTTTTAAATAGTTATTAAAAATATTACCWGAGTTTCTTGATATTTTTTGATATTTCGTGTTCATACCAATGCACATCATTATTATAAACCCGCATTTTGCTATCATTTTTCTTTTCTAATTTTCATTAAATAATAATAGATGTATTAGTTTAGTGTTTAAGAGGACGCTACACCCTCATGTGTTGTCTCCGTCTTACAAGCACGTAACATTGCAAAAACTGTTTCGTGCGGGAAAGAACCGAGAATGCTACAGTCATAACTAAGAAACAAAATTCTCACCACAGATAAAAGGGAATTTCGACTGTGCAACGTTGTTTTTATTTTTTTGATATTAGAACTGAAAAAAAAGTTATTCGATTTTGAAAAAC